GAGGAAACCGAAAAGAACGACAAGCATGAGAAGTCTTATCAGAGACTAAATGAAGTATAACCTTAAAAACTCACAATTCATAGTACCAAAAAATATATTTGATCGTTACGAGTTAGACTAATACGTGCTATACGGTGTATAGGTCTTTATTAAAAATGAGCTTTTTCGATTTCTCGATCTGATAATTCTCGAATAAAGGGTCATATGAGCAATTTCTCCAACGTTAGAAAATTGTGCTCTACTAGTTTTGTGTGTTGATAATTAGTGTTACTATCTTTGCATTACGTGAGTAAATTATCTTTTGTGACTAAATACTAGTCATTCATATAGAATAGTTATAAGTTGTACACTGAGGTGTTCATGTGTTTAAGGAGAAATTACTACGTCTTTGAGTTTGACTGCTGCTCCTCCGATACTCTCAAACCTCTCTCTTTAGCAGCCTACGTAAGTCTTCATAAAAGGTAAGGGGGCCTTTTCTTTGCACCTTCAATTCTCATACATAATAATCCTAACCTCTGAGTATACAGATATATTAAAACTGGGAGGTGGACGGCAAAGTTTTATGAACCCCACACTCTCGAAATCACGTCTATAAGTGCTAAGTCATATGACTAATGGGAGAGAAGAACCTCAGTGACAAAGGCAAAAAGCACAGAATGGGAGCACTAGGGGTACTTCGCTTCATACTAAGGTTGACGACGGATGTCTCGCTGGAGAGACACATAAGCTGGCAAGCCCATGAATGCAGGTCGTCCTTTGCAACTATGACAGCAAAAACTGAGCTAATTGGAGCGAGTGTAGACTTAAGGCTGGATCGGGGCACTAAGTATAATCGCTGCAATGTACATAGGAGCTGCCACCAGACAGGCCAGGACGAGCGAGAAAGTTCGGGCAGGGTCGCATAGAAGAAGAAAAAGCGAATATGCACTGACAATACGTGGGCACAAAGGCTTGCGTGGACGCGTTCCGTCGACGGCGAAGAACACGACCCTCGACAAGAACAACGTCTCGCGGCCGCGAGCGGAAGAGAAGGGATGCCGGCGAAAGTCCGGTGACCGCGGATAGCGTGAGAAGATTAGCGCAGATCTGGCCGGCAATTTGACCATCTGGGGAAGGCGCGTGCAAGGACGTGTGGGCGACGGGGCAGATGCGGGTTCATAATGGTGGGTTTGGATTGGCGAAGCAAGAGACATTTAGGTTGTTGGTGTGGTGCCAGACAAAATTAGTGACAATAACGACACTCTGGGCGACAATGTTGGTTGTGGGCACCTGCCATAATCGTATAGATGTAGGTCAGGTGCAGGTTGGAGGGTAACGTCACACGTGTCTGAGGAAACATATTGCTAAGACGTCTCCAAGATTGCTGGAGCATAGCTAGAGTAAGGAACTTAGCCGAAGTTCTATGTGCTGAGCCATGAGCTAGAGTGTGGTTTGAAAACGGTGGGGTTGTTTGCGAGCGAGATTTGGGTTTGGTTCAAAGTGGATTGCTCATGGATGAAGCATGGAAAACCAAGCCAGATTAGTAGGTGCACAGAGTGTGTTTTTGATTATAATCTGGACCAAAGTGAAGATTGTTGGGTGTTGGCCCCAAGTTATTAGTTATTTCACAGACAGACATGATATAGTCAAAGTGCCTTACTGATATTGGGCAATTTATACTGAGATATAATTAATTTGGGAAAATTTGGAATAAAGCGTTAGTATAGATGTTTCCTACCTATTTTTTGTCTGCTCCCCCTTCTGCCATTCTCCTCTCTCCTCTCTTATTTCTCTTTGCAAGACAAGATTCTCTAAGACACATCAATCTAGATGAATAACTCCTCTAAATTCTACTAGTTTCAATACATATTATTCTAGTTCAAAAATTAAGCTTTCCTTTCTCTTATAATTTTAGATGAACAATAGGTCTTACATGAAGCGTAGATGCAAAGATTGAGAAAAGTGGTGAATTCGTTATCATTATTTATCCATAATATGTGTTCGAAACAACTGCAAAACTTGTTCAAATAGAAAGACTTATAGCGAAGAGACAAGAGAAAGAAAAAGTTTGTCTTACTTTACAGAAGGCAGGAGCAATTGTGATAAGGTTAACCTTTCAAAATTATCTAGACTTAGCCTAAGTTATACAATTTTTTTATTTATTGAATGCTGTGATGATTGTAGTCCAAATTTATTTTTCGTGTTAGCCAAAAATCATAAAGATCCGCACTTCAATGACTTTTTTTTTTTTTTTTTGACAAAATAAATATTCCATCGCTTATTTAACAAATAATTCCCAATACATCAAAAGCTATTATGACCATTGAATTTAAATCGTTTATTTTATAAATATTAAGTCGCTTTTTTGCCAAAAGATAAATGTTATGTTCGAAAGATATAAAATTAGGGAGAAAAAGCTCTGTAAAATATTAATCAATAGAATCAATAAAACAAAATTCATAATGAAACAACAACTTCCAACAAAGAATTCTGAAAAATGAAACATTGGATATGAAGATCATCAGATAAAATACTCTTATGAATAATGTAAGGTGTCAATTTCGTCTATAACTCCTTCATCAGACTACACAAAAAATGCAAGGAAGAAATAGTTATTTCAGTGGTGTTGGAAGTGTGAAGCAGCGCATAGCAAAACGGGATTCACATAATAGCTGAACATTGCCGAACATTTTGATAAACAGCTGGGCAGCTCACATGGTCTTGCGTTATGAGCTTTGGGCATTCTATCTTGTATTCGATGTCTTACTATATGTATGCGTGTGAGGTTTCTGCCTTACATTGCAATGAGAAATAATTTGTATTCCCACTATGAACAAACAAGAATGGTAAGAGATAATTCAAACTCATTAATCCACGGAAGCAAGGAACATACAAGTCATTTAGTCAACAGTTAACCACGAGAATAGCTCAATTCATATGGTTTTCGAGTATTTCAAAATAGTAAAACACACCAACTAACCAAATCCAAGCAAATCATCAGTGGAAAAACCTGCCAATTACTTACAGATTGCTACTTTCGAAGCAGGTCGGCGCGACAATTCCGGCGAGAAGAAAGAAGAAAAGAAAAGAAAGGTAAGATCTTTGTACCTTCTAATCTCCAAGGTTTGATTCCTGGCATAGAACCTCCGCCAATCGCAGGTTCTTCGACACGAGAGAGGAGCAAAACAAAAGCTGAGCAGACAATTGGAAATCTAAGCTCGTTAAAGAACACATTGACCAAAAAAAAAAAAAGATTCTGCCACTAAAAATTAATTTTTAATCTGTAGATAAAAACTTCCGCAATTCTTAGTCGTGTACGACTGAGAACGATCTCCACAACTACCGATCCGAATGGATCAGAACCGTAATCACAGCTCTTAGCCCGAGCCACTTTCTCAACCAGAGTTAGTTGCTTGCCTCTTTAACATTCGTTAAAGATGCAGGCGTACGAGCCTATAGAAAGACCTGTTCAGTAAGGTCGTACCGTTCAGGTTCAAGATTTTTAATATTTAAATTAAGGAGAGTTTCAAGTTCTACATCAGTTGGACATAAAAACGAAAAAAAATCAGAAAAATACCGTAAGGATTGATTTTGAACAAATTTTGATTAAGAGGCTAATTTTATTTAATCAATGCATATATTAACATGAAAAAGGTTTTTTAATGTTTTATATTAATTTAATATAAATATATCATTGACCTGAATAGTAAATAATTTTAAAAAAAAATCAGTAATAATTAAATCATATTTCTTTACTAATATTATTTGTACATACAATAAAAAAATAAAATTAATAAACTTAATAATATATTTGCTGCTAAAATAGTCTATTTCTCTTTACCTTTAGATCAAGAATGGTATTTTAAAGACAAAGTTTTTGATGAGTTTATTTCGATTAAAGTATTGTTGAAATCGGAGTTCGGGATATTCTAAATTAATTTTCAAAAATGTCATATATATTATCATGAAAAAGGTATTTATGTTTATTAATGAATTTATATAAGTCACGAAATATAATCTTTAAAAAGAAAATTATTTTTAAAAAATATATATATATGAACACTTATTTATTGATATCATATCATTAAAATAATTATAATTTATTTAATATATCAAATTGGCTGTAAGTGTCATTTGAAATCATTTTGCCAAAAAAAGTATTTCAATAGGGATGCAAACAGATCGAGCTGAGCGATAGTAGTTTCTGATGTTGTGTTCATTTAATATCAAGCTATTCAACGTTTGTGTTCATATTTGTTCGAGTTAGCATTGTGTTTCATGTTTTGCTTCATTTTTAATAATTAAGTAGCGTTCATCGTCGTTGTTTCCATCGTCAGTTCATGTTCGTGGTCATACCGTTTAGTGTTTATCGAGCTTGTTCAACGAGTGAACAATTAACGAATTTTTTTACTATCAATAAAACACATCTATGAAA